CAATCCAAAACAGTCCAGTGGTGCCTTCTGACACACTTCCGGTGATGTCAGGGGGTGTGACATATGCAAATAAGTTATGCTAATGAGTGCATAACCCCTGGTCCTGGCTGTCAAGGCCCCCTTCTGTTCTTTGTCCGCTTTGCCGTTAGTTTGCTCCCGGGCCCAGTTTAAGGTGCTGGTTTTGATTTTAAAACTCTAAACAGCTTGGGCTCCAAGTGACTGAAGGTCTAATATGAACATTCCCTCCTTTTACCTGACCCCTACTGCTGTCGTTTCCTTGTCATCCTGCAGGTGTCCGAGGACCCATCTTCAAAGGTCCACCCCCTCCTCGAATGACTGGCTCTGCTGGTCCTCCATTTGGTACACTGGAAGAAGTGCAGCTTGGAGAAAACCAAAGGAATGAGATCGACATTTCTGATTTGGGATCTCGCAACTATGGAGCAAGGACAGACTTTTACTGCCTCGTGACAGAAGATGACATATAAGAGATTCTGGAGTAATTTACTCTATGCATCTGACCATCTTTAGTAGCATGATGTTCCCTAACGAGGATAATCTGCTTGGCTAATTTCTTTAAACCAATCTATTAGCTAATCTTGGGGGATATCTATTTTCATAGTGCCTTACAGTAACATTTACATGATGAATGTCCTGCGTTTTTGAAACTGTTTAAAAATCAAGGGGAATTTTCAGGGAGGAAAAGTTGTCTTGAATGACATGGCAAATTTTCAAATGTTACTGGTTTAGTGGGCCACCGTGCTGGGATTGATCTTTGCAACGGGCTCCATCTTTATTGCTAGCATCCGTGGAAAGGCCCTGGAATTCCAGAAACTGGTACCAATGACTGGCTAGCATTGAGGCCCGTCAGGGCAAAGACTGTGGCTCTTGTTTTAAATATTTAAATTTAAATAAAAAATTAAAAATTGTAAATAATAAAAAAACACCTGTGGCACGGAGGCAACATTTTGGGCAGTGCTTCCCTGAGAGGGCAATTGAAACTATTAGTGAAGAAAAGCATTGGACTGAGTTCCCTTGAGGATCCTGAATTTTCTCAGCATGTATACTTTGCCTTAATGACTGATTGTAATCATGGTTGTCTGGGAGTGAGGGCCATACTGTCTTGCTTCTGAGTAGGTTTGGGATTGCAGCTTTAATTGTTCCTGGTACCATTAGATGGAGAATCCCGAGGGAGGGATTGGCTACTGATGCCTCAAGAACAGCATGACACACAGCTCAGAGGCCCTGGGAAACAGTGGAATGGGAGATCTGGAATTGTGGTGCAAGGTCAAGTATTACTTTATGGCCCAATGAACATAGTAATAAAAGTGTCCCGTGCAAGGGTAACATTAGAAGACATTGGCACAGGGTCCATCCAGGATCCTGGGCCAACTTGCTGTCTTCAGATAAGGCCCTCTAGCTGTCCCTTGCAGGGGTGATAGTAGCATGTCAACAGGCCTTTTCTTGGGCTGTATTTAACCACGGTTGTTCACTGCCTGATCAGTTCACAGGGCAGCCATTCTCAGTTTTTTTTAAAAAGAATGAATGTAATTAAAGTTCATCATTTTAAGCTAGCTGTGGCCTGTTTTCTTCTTTGTTGCCAACAGTTACATAGCATAAGCAGATGGTCATTCATGGGCTATTGGTCCTTTACCCGTAGAGAAGAAGAAGAGATTGGATTTATACCCTCCGGCCCTTCACTACCCAAAGGAGTTCTCAGAGCGGCTGACAAACTCCTTTCCCTTCCCCTCCCCACAACAGACACCCTGTGAGGTGGGTGGGGCTGAGAGAGCTCTTGACAGAAACTGCCCTTTTACAAGAACAGCTGTGCCAGAACTACGGCTTGCCCAAGGTCATCCAGCCAGGTGCAAGTGGAGGAGTGGGGAATCAAACCCAGTTCTTCCAGATTAGAGTCCACGCACTTAACCAGCCAAACTGGCTGATGTTTCAGTCGGTCAGTCAGTCAGGCATTTATTACGGCAAGAAGCCATAGAACACACATGCTTAAATATAACATTCATAACATTCATATAACTGAATTTAGGACAGTAAAATAAAACTCTATAAAAATACAGTTGAGCGTAATAAAGTAAAAGAAGAACATAAAACAGAGACTATTAGGCAACTATTATTATATATTTGATCGTGTATTTCGGATGCAGTAGCATGCTACCCAAAATTTTGCCACAGTTTAGGTAATTGCTCGCCTTGGCCCAGATGATCCAAGTCTGGAATTTAAATATAAGGAATTTTTTAGTGACTCGTACGACTCTTATAAATTTTCTCCTCTTCCTAGGTGTTTTAAGGATTCCACTTCAAATGTTGCAGGTTTATATCTAGCCAAAATGGCCTACAAGTTGGGTCTGTACATTTGAAATGGTACTTTCTTGGAAGATTATCCGGCTGAGTTTACCTGTATGTCGGGTCAGAGACTTAGCACTATTGATTATATGTTAGCATGCGCTTCTCTATTACCTCTAACTGGCTGATGTTGTTTTGTTAACTAGTAACAAAGGACCCTGACTTGGGAAAACGGGGGCTTCTGCAGATCAGGACTAGAGCCGTGTCCCAAGACAGGAAGAAGTGGGAACTGCTGGCTATCTTGGGGAAAGGTGTCTACAAACAGTGAAGTCAGAAGTGATGCTTAGTACTGACAGAATTCCAGAGCTTTACAGGGTTCACACACATCAAGATTTCTTCCCCATCAAAAAACAGTAGCATTATTTAGCGGGTTGAAATCTCTCTGGTGTGAATGAGTACAAAACTGGTGTTCTAGTTGAGGCCAAACTAGGGGGCACTTGGGGGGCAGAGAGATTTTCCTGCACACTTGGAGCAGTCCCCAGGTGTGCAGAAAAATCTAAAAAGTTGAAAAAAATATACAGGGGATATTTAAATCCCCCCAAAGTAAAATTCCCTGCGCATGCACAGAGAACGCTCTGGCTGTTGGGGGGGGGGGAGGCTTGGTGGGCCCG